GTTAGCTAATATAAGGCTAGGATTGGGGAGGAAGAAATTCCATATAAAGCCTTGTAATTGCTAGGTTTACAGCTTTAGTTGAAGAGATTGTTTTTACAGCAAATAAAATTTGCTTTGCAATTTCTCCTTTTCTCTTGCATCGTTATTTTTTTATTTCGTTTCAAAATTGCTATGAAGACAATTTGATTGTCTCCTCTTGGTAAGGCGACATCAGTTTGGTATCAGAGCTTTGGTTTTAGCTTCCCGGCTGCGCAATCATGTCTCCACGACAACTACTGAGAGGAGGAAATCGTAGAGTGCAGGTTCTGGCTTGAACCCTTACCCAAACAACACGAAGATGAGATAAAGTTTTTGGGGAGACAAGTTGAGTTGTTGACTCAACTATTGGGTCAGCATGTTGTTGATGACAATGTTTCGGTGGATGATGATGTGTCACACATCGAGACTATTACGAAAAATTCGTATTTTTCATGTCGCCATATAGATCATTCGACGAGTGGACTGATCGTTGTTGGCTGACAAATATCAATTTTCAGATTTCTGATTTTTATGAAGGGGATTTTTTGAATCCTTTTTGCAGCAATACAACACCTAAACCAACACCTATTCTACTTGATGAAAGTCATTGGGATGGTGAGTTTATATGGAGGAAATTCCTGAATTGGTAGGAAATTTTGGTGGAGAAGAAAAACAACTTTTGATCGAGGAAGATGATGCAACCCCAATGGTTAAGCCAAAATATGATGATTACCCGGAGGAAGAGGATGATATCATATATGGAGATATAGGTGAATTCTTGGTTATGCAAAAACCACTATTGATTTCAGAACATGAGGGTGATAAGGAAGCTACAAAAGAAGGATCTCAAGATGAAGTATGCGTGGTTTATCATGAAGATTTTGGATCCATGGAGATGAAAAATAATGGATTTTACTGTTATGATATGGTTTGGGATGATTCTTGGAGCGCAATACAACTACTTGGCGGTTATGGAAGAAAAATTAAAATTGATTAAACTTCTAGTTAAGGATACCGAGTTTTGCAAACCTACCCAATTTCGAAGGACCTCTAGAAAAATCCATATTTATTATGCGATTGTATTCTTTGAAAGCCATGCTCTGATTTTTGATTGATCGTGAAAAATTGCTCCAAACTCAAGGGTGAGTTTTTTCTAACACTGGGAGACTGATGCAAGCAGAATTTCAAATTTCTGCAAGTGGAATTTGCGTTTTTCAGAAACTTTCCATATTTTTAAAGTTTCCTTATTTTGAGTAGTTTTCTGATTTTCATCAGCTTTCCTTTTTGAATAGTTTTCTGATTTTCAGCAGTTTTCCTGTTTTGGTTTTATTTTATATTTGGTAGTTAACTAATATAAGGCTAGGATTGGGGAGGAAGAAATTCTATATAAAGCCTTGTAATTGCTAGGTTACAGTTTTAGTTGAAGAGATTATTTTTGCAGCAAATAAAAATTGCTTTGCAATTTCTCCTTTTATCTTGCAGAAGACTTCATAGCAATTTTGAAACAAAATAGAAAAATAACGATGCAAGATAAAAGGAGAAATTGCAAAGAATTGCAAAGCAAATTTTTTTTGTTTTATTTTATATTTGGTAGTTAGCTAATATAAGGCTAGGATTGGGGAGGAAGAAATTCTATATAAAGCCTTGTAATTTAGTTGAAGAGATTATTTTTACAGCAAATAAAATTTGCTTTGCAATTTCTCCTTTTCTCTTGCATCGTTATTTTTCTATTTCGTTTCTCTTGCAATTTCATGGCAATTTTGAAACGAAATAGAAAAATAACGATCCTAAGAGAAAAGGAGAAATTGCAAAGAATTGCAAAGCAAAATTTATTTGCTGTAAAAATAATCTCTTCAACTAAAACTGTAACCCTTGCAATTACAAGGCTTTATATAGAATTTCTTCCTCCCCAATCCTAGCCTTTTGTTAGCTAACTACCAAATATAAAATAAAACCAAAACAGGAAACTGCTGAAAATCAGAAAACTATTCAAAAAGGAAATTTGATGAAAATCAGAAAACTACTCAGAATAAGGAAACTTTAAAAATATGGAAAGTTTCTGAAAAACACAAATTCCACTTGCAGAAATTTGAAATTCTGCCTGCATCACAATATGAGTTGACATGTTTGTGAGTACAAGTTGTTTCTTGTTTTATAGTGTCATGTCACTTCATTAGAAGTTTTGCTATTAGCATTGAAACTATGGTTGTAAATTGAAGACGGGGCTGCAAGATCATATCGACATTTGCTTCAGTCTCCATCAATCCCATAAACTAGAGAAGGTAATTGACCTAAAAGATTGTGGGATTGGGAGTGATTATTCAATAATTAAGTTGGTTTAGAAAGTTCCTGATTAATCTTGTGAAAGTGGTCAAAATTGGTTCAGAATCATTTGGGAAACTTTAGCTAACTTGGAGTTCATTTAAAATTAATTATGAATTATTTTGGAATAAGTTTAAGCTTTATTATGAAGTTTATAATTCAATTTTATTTAATTAGAAATGTATTTGGAAGCCTTCATTTTTGTTAGGAACCTTAGATTATGAATTTGAGTTAAAAACCAGATCAGTAGTTAATTTTGGCAAGGATTCCAATTTTTGAAAACTGGCCTTTGTTTCTTTAAAAAAATCATTAAAATTAATTTGCTTATAATTTCATGTTGATCTTTATATATCTAGAAACTTGACTCGATAAGGTTTCAAATGATATATATGCTTTTGAGTCTATTTGAGCCTCAGACTATTTGCAATCAGGTTTGGCAGAAAGCGTAGATCAAATGAACTCGCTCTAGATTGCTACGATTAATACCTCGATTGGACGAGCTATCCATCAGTGACTGCTGGAGTTGTTGAGAAGTAGGGGCTTGGTACCGCTGGGCCACTGGCCCGTTGGTAATTTGATTAGGTTTTCTAAGCTTTTATAACTAATTTAAACCATTCGTAATCAATATCTAATCACTCTTAACGCCATTAAAAAGGTGTCCTAGGGGTTTCTAAATGCATGGAAACACAATACAAAAATGTGCGAGGGAGATTTACCCAAGCAAACTTTGAGAGTTCTTTTATCATATAGTAAAGTTCTATATAATATTGTGATTGTGTGATTGACTGCTTTCATCGAAGACTTAAAGAATGCTCAACCACAACAATAATCCATCTTTCCATCAAAGAACAGGGAGTTGGTTTGCGAGATGACAATCAATCACTATGAGAAGAGGGGAAACAATGAATGAATTTGTTGATTGATAGCAACAACGCTTGAGTGGAGTGTTTGGCTTAAGTTTGGAAATGTGGTAATTCAACGTAGGTGATTCTCAGGAGTAAGACTCTGGACCTACGGTAGTACTCTTTTCAATTATAGTGGATTATTTGCGTTGGCTGTGTCTTGTGCCTTTTCTTTTAGACATAAATATACTCAAATGCTGTTCCCCGCTGTGACTTGCACCCTCAACCTTCCCTTTGGGGAGATAAATGACTTACCACTTAAGCCAAGGCCGCAATTTTCTGTAATTTTTTTCTTGTGTGGAGGACATACCACTCAATCTCCCCTTGTGGTTCTCTTTGGATTTTACATGTTATTTTCTGTCTTTAATTTATGTTGCTTTACTCCTTTGGTTTAAATGGTTTGATTGGACGATAATTTTATAAGCATGATTAATTTTTTGAAATTGAAATCAAGCAAAATTTTATCGAAGTGTGTGTAGGGGGGAAGAATAGTCAAAGCTTGCATTGAAAATAACTCCTACATCAAAGTGCAGACAGTTTTAGACTCTGCTATATTCTCTTTGGGGGCATCTGATCCCAAATTTAGATTGAGTTAGAACCGAGTCAATGCCACAGGCTCAGAAAAGCCATAGGCTCAGAAGACATTCCTCTGATAGCCTTGAGATCAAGCTGTTTCAAGCTGGTGAAAATTAAATCCTTTGGGGTTGTTTTATGCAGGACTTTGTGATTACCCAACTCAACTCAACAAAGCCCTTTTCCTAATTGCTTGGGATCAGATACATGAATCCTATTTTTCCATTCTACTCTACTCTAAAGTTATAGCTTCAGTCAAGCTATACGTTACCATACATTTCCTTACTAGCCTATCCATGTTAATTATGATTTTCTCCTTCTAACATTACTCTCAATGTGGACCATTTCACTCTTCCGAAAGAAGACCAGTATTTACACAAGTTTGTCATTCTGAAATATTAAACTTCTATAGGATTAGAGATATTTATTCGACAGTAATTCAGTAAAACATGTCTTATATATAATATTAGTATGTAAGGTTATCATACGGGCAGGACTATTCTAGACCTAAGAACTCAACTACCCTTTTGCCCAGAATTGTGTGCAGATGCAACTCAACTTACTGAATTATTGCTGCTCATCCCTTATTGCTTGATATGGAATGGGCCATTCGAAGTCTTGTAATTTCCTTTTCTTTTGATTCCACTTGTCCAGTCATAAGAATTAATATATAAAGAGTTTTTCTTATCTTTGCGCCTTTGGGTTTATTGTCACTCCTATAGCTATCTGAAGAGTGATGGCGAGATTCTGAGCTTCTTGTTGTAGGGTCGTGTTCATGTTCTTTTTGTTAGGTTATCATAACGCTTCTCAGCTAATGAGCTAATGCTTTTATTCCTGGTTGCTCTAATTGGTTTTGCCATGTCAAGTGTCATGTAGTTTTGATTTGAGCTTATAGTTCAGGTTCACAGTGTCTTGATGTCAAGAATTGGATTTGAGAATTTGACTCTAATAAATATGCAATATAGGTTTGGAACTATTAATATGTGATTACTTTCATTGATTTTCTATTGATGCTTTTGGAGTGAGAAGCTGGTGTTTTTTTGGTTAAAAAATGTGATGATTGCTTATGTTTCATGTTGCTTTTCTTTCAATTTTTCTGTTCTGATTTCCAAATTGTAGTTTGTTGTTTTCTTCACTCTGTTTTTTCATTTTTGAGCAAGTTGGTTAATTATAATCCATCTGCAGGTAAATAAGTGGGAAAATTTGTTTGATACAACTTATCGTGTGGTTGAAGATACTCGCTTTGTCATGAGCCATTTTGTAGTACCCAAATATGTCGCCCATGAGCGGCGAGATATTTCACGTACTTGGATGAGACTTTTGGGTTTTGTGCAAGGGATGAATCCTCAAAGGAGAGAAATCGGTATCCATGTTGAAGAAGAAAATGATAACGTGCATTTTCCTTTCATTTTATGTCGCTCAATTGCAAATATTCATTCTCTTTTGGTGAGTGGAGCATTTTCTGTCAGTAGTTGTGAGGAGACACATGACGGGATCCCTTTCAACACATACGAACAAGATTCTGATGACCAAGACAGCCTAAGACATGCAAAAGTCGGGAGGCTTTCACAGGAAAGCTCTGTTAGTACATCGGCTTCTGCATCCAAGGTTGCCGAAGTAAATTTTGACAATCCTTTAATTCCATCCTCCATTTTGTGGTTAACATTTGAGTGCTTGAGGGCTATTGAGAATTGGTTCCAAGTAGATGATACATTGGGGGCTCTTCTAAATGTCTCATCCCCCAAAACGACTAATATCTCTGGGAACAATTTCTTTGCTCTGAAGAAAACGCTATCTAAGATTAGGAAGGGTAAATCTCTCTTTAAGTCGTACAACGTACCTTCAGCAAACTGTAAACTTACAAGTTCAAGAGAAATTCAAGTTAGACAGTGTTCTTCAACGGGTTATAGTGGATTTCATAAATGTGTTGACTTGGAGAGTGGACAAAGAGTGGGGCAGGATACTCCCCATTCAGGTTGTGATGATAATGCAATGGAAGGAGAATGTGCCACTGAATTAGAGGCATTACACGTTCTGAGTTTGTCAGATTGGCCAGATATAGTTTATGATGTTAGTTCACAGGACATATCTATTCACATTCCCTTACATCGATTACTTTCATTGGTTTTACAAAAAGCCTTGAAAAGATGTTTTTGTGAATCTGCATTGCCAAATATGTTTAATGCTAGTTCAGATGATTCGCTGTCAGCTATCTACCGTGACTTCTTTGGGCATGTTCTAGGAGGGTGCCACCCCTATGGTTTTTCAGCCTTGGCCATGGAGCATCCTCTACGGATTAGGGTATTCTGTGCTGAGGTTCATGCTGGAATGTGGCGAAAGAATGGGGATGCTGCCATAATATCTTGTGAATGGTATCGTTCAGTTCGCTGGTAAATAACAATGCTTTAAGCCTTTAATGTATTATTGCAGAAATATCAAGTTCAATTTCCCTTATATATGTTTTTTTGAGGTTCTTGGTCTCCTAAGGATTTTTTTTTGGTTCTTTTCCACAGGTCTGAACAGGGTCTGGAGCTCGATCTGTTTATGCTGCAGTGCTGTGCTGCCTTAGCTCCTCCCGATCCTTATGTCAACAGAATTTTAGAACGTTTTGGGTTATCAGATTACATTTCTCTGAATCTTGAACGGTTTAGTGAGTATGTAACACATTTCCTTAAGTTCTTTCATTTAGAGCTAAATGTTTTTGCTGTAGAATCATGTTCTATTCTTGTTTCTTGAAGTTTTGTCGTGGACACTGATTCTCTACCTTTGGTGATAAATGTTATTTATTTGATGAAGCATGAATCGTATTACTACTTCTGTTTACTTGCTACGTAGTACGATAGATAATGGATTTGGTATATGAATTGTGCTTTACATTCCTCTGTAACTTTTTGCTTGATTAATTTTTCCAGAAGTCCATCGTTGGATCAAATGTTTCTTAAGAACTTGTTTTGCATGGAAAAAATCATTTAATTGGAGATCAGGAGTTGTCAGTGATATTTGAATCTTTTATTAAATTATGAGTTTATGGATCGGTAGCTGGCTATATCATCAACTTGATATTGCATGCATGAGAAGCATGAACAGTGGCTTGGCAAAGAATGGATTACAGAGTATTTTTTGTTCAACACTATGTTTTTCAGGTATGAAGCAGTTCTTGTGCAGGAAATGCTCAATCTTATTATACAAATAGTAAAAGAAAGACGATTTTGTGGACTAACTGCTGCTGAATGTCTGCAACGGGAGTTAATTTATAAGCTAGCCATTGGCGACGCTACTCGTAGTCAGTTGGTGAAATCTCTTCCTCGTGACCTTTCTAAAATCGATCAGCTTCAGGAAGTTTTGGAGAAGATAGCGGTGTATTCTAATCCATCTGGCATGAATCAGGTCTGCTTTGTGGCTTAGGTATATCTTGCTGTTGTTGAATTGACATGCTATTGAATTGATTTTCCTGATAGTTCTCTCTATCCCAGGGTATGTATAAGCTGCGACCTGAATATTGGAAAGAAATGGATTTGTATCATCCTCGATGGAACTCAAGGGATCTACAATTTGCTGAAGAAAGATACTTGCGCTTTTGTAATGCTTCTGCATTGACGACTCAGCTTCCCAAATGGACAAATATTTATTGTCCTCTTAATGGATTAGCTAGAGTGGCTACTTGTAAAGTGGTCGTCCAAATTATCCGTGCAGTGCTATTTTATAATGTTTTTACTGAGAAGTCCACTCCATCACGTGCTCCTGATGGGGTGGTTGTAACAGCATTGCATTTACTCTCACTAGCATTAGACATCTGTTTCCTGCGAAGGCAATCTAGTGATCAGTTATGTAACGGTGGTGATTCAATTCCCATTTTAGCTTTTGCTGGTGAAGAAATATGTCTAGGACTTGCTAATAAGACTGGGGATCAGAGCTTGTTGTCACTTCTTGTTTTACTGATGAGGATGCAAAAGGAAAAAGGAGACAACTTTATGGAAGCTGGCAGTCTCAACCTTTCTCCTTTAATTGAAAGTTTACTGAAGAAGTTTGCTGAGATTGATTCTGGATGCATGACCAAACTTCGAAAACTAGCCCCCGAAGTGGCCAGTAATCTATCATCTTCTGATCTGAATAGCGGTTCAAATATTGTGGAGTCAGCTTCTGATGGTGATAAGCGCAAGGCAAAAGCTCGAGAGAGGCAAGCTGCCATAATGGTAAGATGTGATGCCATATCATTCTTTTTTTTTTTCAGTGGCAAGAGACTCACACTCCCATTTTTCCCTCTAGGGATTCGAACCCTCACTGTCCCCTTGGGAGGTAGAGGAGATACCACTAGGCTACACAGCCTTTGGTATGCCATATCATTTTATATTTGTGCCAAAAAAGGAAACAAGGTTGTGTTAAAAAAAAAAAAAAAAAAAAAAGAAGAAGAAGAAGAAGAAGAAGAAAAAAGATGTAGGTAATTTAGTTAGTATCTATCATTTTAGAATGGATTGGTGTCTTTGTTTATATTTAGCTAGTTTCCGAGATATTTTAGGAATTGATTATTAGGTTGGTTCCGTTTACTTTAAGTTACCAGCATTTAGTTCCCATGAACAACTCTTATTTTCTTGGCCCAGTGTTGGGCGGAGGTAAATGAGAATTTCCCTTGGGTCATCTGGAATATAAGTTCCTTGGTTGCACTAGACATAGTTGAACTTCAGTTTGAATTATCTTTCCAAGGCTCACTATATTTGATATGCAGGAAAAAATGAGAGCACAGCAGTCTAAGTTTTTGGCAAGCATTAATTCCGCTGATGATGATGGGTTGGATGGTTCAAAATTTGGGCAAGAAACGTCTTCCTCTGATGTTGGACCTGATTCCACAGAGTCTACAGAAGATGTTTGTTCTCTTTGCCATGATTCCAACTCAAGAAATCCTGTATCTTTTCTGATCCTTCTCCAGGTTAGAGACTACTACTCTCTGGGTTTATTGACAAGTTATATTAACTGATTAAATTTTAAGACTCTGACTAATCACCATTACTTGCTCGCAAGCTCTAACACAAAATCAAACTGATAATTATCTCTATTTTTGGACCAAGAAATCCAGACTTCTGAGTCTAGTTGACAGAGGTGCCCCATCGTGGGACCAAGTTCGCGGGTTAGGCAAGGATATTCCCACAAGCACAAACAATATTAGTACTCCATTTAGTGGGAGCACTGTCTCAAGTAGTTCAGAAATGATCTCTCCTTCTCAGTTAAATCACTTGATTCAGAGTGCGGTAAACGAGTTTGCTTCTAATGGTCAGCCTAGGGAAGTCAAGGCTTTTCTAGAATTCATAAAAGTGCGGTTCCCTTCAGTGAGGAATATTCAACTGCCTTGCACATCAAATGATACAAGAGAAAGACCTGCTTATTCTCTTGAGATGCTGGAAGAACATATGTACTTGTCTATTCAGGAAAGAATGCATGAGAATTTGTTTCATTCAAATTTTGTGAAGGAGGACGAAAATTTTTCTAAACCTAAAGGGTATCCGACAAAGAACGCAGATGCTGAAGCTCTTTTACTTGCAAGATATATAGCTGCTCTTTCAAAAGAGACAATAGAGAGTCCTTCGGCTTCAGAAAATTCCCATACTCTGAATGATGAGGCTCTGCCAGAATCTAGTTTGCCTTCTCTGACGTATGATGGTTTTGGTCCTTCAGATTGCGATGGAATTCATATTTCTTCCTGTGGGCATGCTGTACATCAGGGGTGCCTTGATCGTTATTTATCATCACTGAAGGAAAGGTAAGTCCTTTAGGTTCAGCATTATTTTTCATCATCTCTTTTTTCTTTCTTTCTTCTCACTTTGTTTTTCTGAGAGTTCCTCCTCTCCCTTCCTTGAACCACCTTCCAACCACAAAAAGACAGAAGAAAGAAAAAAGAAAAAGAAAGAAGTAACCTTCTTTTGTGTCCCACATGCCCAGACCCCACCACTTCCTAAACAAAGTACTTAATTTTTCTGCGTCAATTCTAATTTTTAGTCCTGGAACCATTCAACACCTGAAACTTTTATTTGGAGTTAGAACTCCTCGGTCTCAACAGAGGAGGAGTTGATTTCCTTTCTATAACAATATAATGATGTTTCAACCACATAATCTGGAACTTAGAAGCTTCCATAAGGAACCAAGAAATTGTGGTTCTAGAGTGTGATCGTCACCTTATTTAACACTCTATTTGATTGACAGGAACAGTGAAGGAATGGGAATATGTAGTTACTTTCCTTTACCTGTGCGTTTATTTGTGTGAAATAGTGGGTCTCCCAGTAACTGTTTTCCTGCAAAAAAGTTTTTAACTATTTCACTTAATTGCTGCCATCTGTTTTAGCAGGAAAATGAATTTCAGGAGATTTTAAACCTTAATTTATAATTTATTTTGTTACAATTTAAATATTTGTAGGAAGAAACCTTTATTGACCCCTTTTCTCTGAATCCACTTTATTGAATGACTTTCTGACCATACAAAATTCCTCCAGCTAAGCTTTGCATTCACTTTTTTTAATTAAATGCAAAGATATCTATACGGTTGGGTTCTTAAAACATGGTGGAAAATATGCTTTTATTGGAAAGGCATAAGTTATTTTCATATGCTGTTGAACAGATTAGTTCGAAGAATGGTTTTTGAAGGAGGGCATATTGTGGATCCGGATAAGGTACTTGTCTGTTTTAAGACTTCCATTTTCTGCAGCTGATAAATGGTTTATTTTATTATCTTGAATATTTTATGTTTTTATGTCAGGGGGAATTCCTCTGCCCTGTATGCCGTGGACTTGCAAATGCAGTCTTGCCTGCTTTACCTGGAGATGCTGCAGGCCCTTTAATCTCATCAAACAGAGAAATTGATTTTCTTCGTCTTCAAGAAGCCTTGTCACTCCTCCAAAGTGCGTCTGATGTGGTTGGGAGGGGTGAAATCCTTAAAGCTTTTCCGATGCAGCGAAATGGTAGGATAAGACTGAATATTGAATCGGCGTTTCGTGTACTCTCTGGAATGTATTTTCCTGGAAAACATGATAAGGTTTCTGGATCTGCAAGGGTAAGCCACTCGATGATCATGTGGGACACTCTTAAGTACTCACTCATAAGTACTGAAATTGCCGCTCGCTGTGGAAAGACTTCCTTGACCCCAAACTATAGCCTAGAGACCTTATATAAGGAACTCAAATCTTCTAGTGGGTTCATATTATCCTTGTTACTGAAAGTTTTAAGAAGCACGCGGACCAAGAACAATCTTACTGTCCTTCTAAGGTTAAGAGGTATTCAGCTCTTTGCAGAGTCTATATGTTCCGGTGTTTCTTTGGATGAATATCCCAGCCGCTCATGCAGACGAGGAGGTATAATTGCAGTTAATGCATTTCTCCTGAGATTTTAAAATCATGATTGCTATATCTTTCTTTCTTGTGAGTGGATTTTGGTCCACCGAATGGGTACAGCTTATTTTATTGCTTTTCTGAGGAGTTAATAATATTAGGTTCTGGATCTTTGTGAACTACATGCACTATAAATAGTGGTAATCAGAATTTACAAGATAGGCTGATAAATTAATGAATTAAAATGATGTTATGTTAAAGATTAAATTCTAATAAATTCAGATTAGAAAAATTGGATGCATACTTGGACTTGGTTGTAGGCTTAGGTTTGAGTTGGGGCCTCGTGGTAGCTGGAAAGATTTTCATCAGGAGGAGGATGAGAGAAGTGGAGGCAGGGTTCTAGAGATGGCTTCATAAATGAACACCACCCCAACACATATGCACGCAATTAGAGTCATTAGACAATAAAAATAACAACTAATGAGGGTATTGGCAGCAATTAATTACAAATCCTTGGACGGGCAGGAATTAGTTTGTAATAAACATGGGTAACCAGGGGCCATTGTTAGTGTGCTTCAGTAAAAGCTTAGGTATCAAACATTAAGTCACGGTTCTGAGTCTGAGTAGCTACTATGTGCAAAATAATGCCAAAGGTTGTCTTTCAGTTTTTCCTTGTTTATATCCTCATAGGCAGGACCATCTTTGTAAAGGCCGCCTTTTTTATCCTTAAGATGTATGGTAACCAACCTGTCACCAAAAGGGAATATAAGGAGTCAAAAGCTTTAGCAAGGTCTAAAAACTTCGCATCATTGATGTGAAACTGTTGGATGTTCAATTGCCCAGATGGTAAAGTTGTAGGCGTTCCTCATTTGCTTTTATAGGTTAGTTTATTTTTTTGGGCAAGTAGTTGTTTACCTTTCTTTAATTGTTTGCAATCAGCTGCTCAAGAGGCCATCCCCCACCAACGAAGAGATTGGTGGATTATTTTCTATCGTGCAGCCTATATTATTGGGCTTTCTCACATGCCTGGTCAACATCCTAAGCCGAGAAGGGTACTTTCAAGGCTATTCAGTGTCAAAATCTAAGTTGTAAGTTTTTTTAAAAGGAATAACAGTGGGTTTGGTTCTGTGGAAAAAGTTCTAGACTGAGGTCCACTATCTGTTAGTGGCACTATAAATACAAATCTAAAATAATTGCGTAATAACAGGCACATTGCTTTATGACGAATGTCACGATTTAAACCATACTGGAAAAATATGTACTAAACCTCTGTTTAGGTTAATCATGGCTGCTCTGTGGTTCAATATATAATTTTAAAATTTGTTACAAGATCAATCAATAAAATTACCCTGGCAATGGGTCAAACATAGATGGCATACATTATTAAGATGTTTATTTTATATTCTATGGATATTGTCTAATAGATGCTATCATTCACAGGTAACATGCTAGGTATCTTGAAAAATGTAGAAACGGGAGTCACATATCCTGATATCCAATTTTGGAGACGAGCTTCTGATCCTGTTCTTTCTCATGATGCTTTCTCATCATTGATGTGGGTGCTTTTTTCTCTTCCATCGCCATTTCTATCATGTGAAGAATCCTTCTTATCTATTGTGCATATCTTCTACGTTGTCACAGCAGTTCAGGTTTGTTACACATTCCATTTGTTCAAGCAATGTAAAACTTTGATTGCAATGTTCCTTTGTAAAATATTGATGTCTTAATAATAGTATATTATATTTGCAGACTATAATCACGTATTGCAAAGGTCACCAATGCAATACAACTGAATTAGGATGTCATGATTGCCTGATTACTGACGTCTATAAAATGATGGGAGAATGTGGAGTTGCTCAGCAATATTTTGTTTCCAACTATATCGATCCTTCATGTAATATAAAGGATATGATTCGTCGCTTGAGCTTTCCTTATTTGCGAAGATGTGCGTTGTTGTGGAAATTAATTAACTCTTCCACCTCAGCACCATTTAGTGATGGAGCTCAAGTGTTGGATATATCATCTCATGCCATTGATGATATGATGGAATGTGCCAATGACCTTGAGATTGAGCTTGTCGAAGTTGAACAGCTGGAGAAAATGTTCAAGATTCCCTCACTGGATGTTGTTCTCAAGGATGGTGTGCTACGTTCTTTAGTTTTTAAATGGTTCCATCATTTTCTGAAAGAGTTTGAAGTTCATAGCCTTCAATGTGTTCTGCACTTGACTCCTGCAGTCCCGTTTAAGTTGATGCATTTGCCACATCTTTACCAAGATCTTTTGCAGAGGTTTTTGGATATGCTCATATAAGAACTTTTTTCTTTCCCGCTCATTATCATTTAAATCCATAATTCACTGGAGAACATGTACTTTATCAGGTATATAAAACAGGATTGCCCCAACTGCGGAACTGTTCTGGAGGAACCTACATTATGTCTCCTGTGTGGTAAATTGTGCACTCCAAATTGGAATATATGCTGCAGGTTCATATCTATTCTTGATAGTTTTTATTTGAACTCCAGTTATATATTCCCTTTTTTTTTGACTGGCTGAGATATTATATTGAAAGACTAATGCTGATAAGTTGATTACAAATTGCAACAAGTTTTAGTAATAACCAAATGTTGGAAACCACATAAGCAAAAAATTATTCCCTATTAACTTGAAATCCACCCTCAAATACAAACAGACCTGGATACGTGATGGAAACTGTCAAGCTGGAGTTAGTAGGGGTTGGGGGAATCGCCAGTGGAGCTTCATTGTTTTTAGTGGCTATGCCTAGATGGTTTTTCTTAGTTGGATGTTACCATTTATTTTGGTAACAGGCTTGTTATCTCATTAGCACCCTGTATTTAGCTTTGCAAATTTGACACTCTTTATTGCTTCTTAAGGGAAAGTGGCTGCCAGACTCATGCAATGGCCTGCGGTGCTGGTATTGGTGTATTCCTGTTGATTAGGGTATGTTTTATTGTTCGCCTTAGGTCATGCTTTTGAAGCCCTATTTATCATTTATTATTTTCATGGAAATAAGGTTTTTCTTTTTGTGTTGGCTGTATGTTGGGGAGATGACTATTTAGTGTTTGGTCTTGTAGAAAACAACAATCTTGCTTCAAAGATCTGTACGTCAGGCACTTTGGCCTTCACCCTACTTGGATGCGTTTGGTGAAGAGGTAAGTTAATTTATCTTCCTTATCAAGAATTGTTAAGAGCAGTAAAATTGCATGATGTTATAGTCAAAGATCCATTTGATAGTACCAGTTATGCCTTTCTTTTAAGTTTTCCCATCTGACCCTTCTCATAAACTGTGCACAGAAGTACAAAAACTGTTGTAGAATGAAGGTTCATTGGTCAGTGCGATATAGCTTTAAGGACCAGGTTGGGAAATCAGATTAAGCAAAAGTAATCACTAGTTGATATCCGTGATTTGCGGGTGATTGCAGATATATGAGGTTTACATTGAAGCCATGAAGACTTGTGGTTGTAATGATTCCTCGTACCCCTGAAAAAAAAAAAGTGATCACTATCCATGAGTCTGCAGCACATGAAAAAAGATGGCAAATAATTTAGCTAAGCAATTGGAAACCTCACAGTGGGGAGCTGACCATGTGAAGCGTAGTTAGAAAAAAGTTAGGGGATAGTTGAATAACCAACCACCAGCCTTTCCTCATTTCACAGTAATGATTTGAGATCAACATATGACCTGCAAACACGCGGCATGAGCAACATGTGATTTGGACCTACTCTAGGAGAAGGATCAAAGAAATATAGAATTAGGGTTGCATTCTTAGTTTTATTTTCATTTGGAATACTTAATTTTAGGTTTAGTTTGTATTTTCATATTTTTGGTTTTCTTAGGGTTTCCCCATAGTTATTAAAGTCTCAAAATGTACTAATAAGGCTCTAAGGTCTCCTAAAGCCTAAGTGTGAGGCTCAACATAAGGCACATGCTTGATCGAAGTAAGGCATGCGTGTTGCTGCGACTTCAATAATGCTCCCAACAGGATGTCACGAAATAATATATATACTCGGTGAGTCCGAGGTCAAACCACAGGGAAAAGGGAAAACAACCATTAAAGTACTATATACTTTGTGAGTTCGAGGTCGAACCATAGGAAAAGGGAAAACAACAATTAATGGTGAAAGCGAAGAAAAATTATTTAAAAGGTTTTGAAAATTTGGAGGTTTGATAATATAGAGAATTGATTTGAGTAAAATAATATTTTGAAAACACCAAGGTTTCAGAGATCCGCACACAGCAAATCCATGGTATTTGCTAACGATTTTATTTATATATATATATATATATATATATATATATTTTTTTTTTCACAAAGCAACAAGGAAAGGAAACTAAGAAACAGAAAAGGGGGAAGCTTCAGCCTCAAGGGCTGAAATAAGCCAACAAGGCCACACAGGCGAGTGAACATCACTTCTGCAGGAACTGAGAGCCCATTTGCAGAAAGAGTGGGCAATGGAGTTACAAATCCTTGGGGTCCAGGAGAGAGAGAAGCCCTTGTGATCTCTAAGGAGAATGACAATGTCGTCCATAAGAACTCTGGACAAGTGGTTAGAGGGAGAGGGCTTAAACAAATTAAGACAGTCCCCTTCAATGATGACTACAGTATAGCCCCAGTGGATAAGGAGTGAAAGACCTTCTCTGAGAACATAGAATTCAGCGACTTCGGGGTTGGGAATAAAAGACGAGAATACTGAAGCAACTTTGATTGCTCTTCCTTTGTGGTCTCGAAGGATAAGACCTCCGCCTGCTGATTTGGAAGGGAAAGAGAATGCAACATCAACATTAAGCTTGAGTTTTCCTTCAAAAGGAGGAACCCAATGAGGAGGAGGGGAGGGAGGGTAGAGATGAGCATGAAGGCGAGTGTCCAAGATGGAGATATTAGAGAATTCATGAAAGTTAAGCATGGCTCGGTTCAGAATGGCTTTGGGATTCCAATGGGTGGAATTGAAGTGCCAATCGTTGCGAGCCTTCCAAATTTGCCAACAAATGAAGGTGGCAAGGCTTAAATTGGTTTTGCCGTTGGGTAAGGGCAGCCAAGAATCAAGAAGATGATTCCATTGAGTGGCCCAAGGAATGCAAATTGAATCAAAACAAAGCCTTAAAGGGCTAATACGCCAAACCATGTGGGACGAGGGGCATCTACATAGAAGATGAAATGTGGATTCGGCTCAAGGCCACATCGCTTGCAGATATCATCCCTGACAATACCTCTAACTTTGAGGTTTGAGAGAATTGGGATTCTTTCATGAGCGCACTGCCATGAGAAGAATTGGATTCTTCTCTTGGTTGGAATGGACCAAAATTTCTTCCTGAGGGGTTTGAATGACTGAGCATGGCTGCTGGAAGCATGATGGATAGACAAGGGAGGATTGTGCTTTAAGGCATATGCAACTCTATAAGCACTTTTGACGGTGAAGTTGCCAGATGGGGAAGTATTCCACATAAGAGAGTCAGAACCTTGAGTGATTCTGAGAGGAATATGAAGGATGAGCTCACTATCCCTTGTATTGAAGAGGCGCTTCACAGTATCTGTTTTCCAACTAAATGTAGCATGGTTAATAAGGTCAGCCACTATAACAACCTGTGAATCCAGAGGTGGAGAAGAAGTAATAAATGGGTTGGATATGTCAGGGAGCCAAGGATCTGTCCAGCAATTGACCTTAGCACCATCAGCAATTCGCCATTGAATGCATTTAAGAATAATATTCTTCACTGATTGGATGCCCTTCCAAGCCTAAGAGGATGAAGGTTTATGTAACGAGTCAAGAAATGATCAATTCTTAAAGTAATTGCTTTTATATAAGTGGCAGAGAAGAGAGTTATCTTCAATGGTGAGTTGCCAAGCAATTTTAGCCAAAAGAGCTTGGTTGAAGGCTTCAATGTCTTTGAATCCAAGACCTCCCTCAGATTTAGAAGAACATAGCTTAGCCCAGCTCAGCCAAGAAATATGATTGTGAGTGTCTTGGCCACTCCACCAGAAATTCATGAGTTTGCTGTTAAGAGAATCACAAGTGCCAACTGGGAGCTTGAAGCAAGACATAGTGTATGTTGGGAGAGTGGATAGAACAGATTTTAGAAGAACTTCTCGGCTTGCCTTGGAGAGAAGGGTGCCTTTGAGAAGCTTAATGCGAGAACTGGTTCTGTCAGCTAGGTATTTGAATGTGTCAGTTTTGGATCTACCCACAGATGCAGGGAGACCAAGATACTTGTTGCACCACCCATCTTCACCAATCCCAAGGATTCTACTGCGCTGAATTTTGATGGAGGGAGAAGTGTTGAGGCTGAAGTAAGCTCCAGATTTACCGAAATTAATTTTTTGGCCTGTGAGGGCTTCATAATTGAGCAGAATTCTCTTCAATTGGATAGCCTCAAATGGAGAGGCATGACAAAAAAGCAAAGCATCATTGGCGAATAAAATATGAGATAGAGGAGCGAGGTCTCTAGTTAGAGAGACGCCATTGATAAGATGCTAACTAGAGAATAAATTGAGGAGTTGGGAAAGACCTTCAACACATAGAAGGAAAAGGTAAGGAGAGAGAGGGTCACCTTGCTGAAGACCTCTGGATGGGTGGATGAGACCCCCTGGCTCTCCATTGATGTTAATGGAATAGGTGACTGATGAAATGCATGACATGATGAGGTTGACCCAGTGGTTGTCAAAACCCAGCTTAAGCAAAAAGGCAAAAATAAAATGCCATTCAACCCGATCAAAAGCTTTAGCCATATCCAGCTTGATAGCCATAAAACAAGTGCCACCGTTCCTTTTTGGATTTGAGGCAATGCAAAATTTCATGAGCCATAAGAGTGTTATCATGAATGGATCTAGATAGATGGGATAAAGGCACTTTGGTTTGGACTGATAAGGGTATGAAGCAAAGGTTTGAAGTGGTTAGTCAATACCTTGGAGAAGATTTTATAGGAAACATTGCACAAGGATATGGGGGCGAAAGTGGGTGATCAGCGTAGGGTGGCGCTAATTGGGAAGGAGAGTAATGTTAGTGTGATTAGCTAGAGGATAAATGACCACTAAGGAGGAAATAATTAAAGGCTGAAACCATGTTTGATTTCAGAACCTCCCAATTAGATTGAAAAAAGAGGGGTGAATCCATCCGAGCCAGGGGCTTTAAAGGAGCCTATACCATCAATGGCCACCTTGAGCTCATCAATTGTTGCAGGTTGGAGAAGACTGTAATTCATGTCAGAATTAATCTTGGGAGTTATAGAATCCCAGAATAATTGGTGAGGAGAGGTGGGCGAAGATAAGAATAGATTGTCAAAGAAGGATTTGGCAATGAACCGAATTTCCTCCTTGGAGTCCTTCTAGCGACAAGTGTGGTCCTTTAATCCAGGGCCGGCCCTGAGATTCCAAATATTTTGAGAGGCCCTAGGCGAACTTTCAAATGTGAGGCCCTTAAGTTTCACATGCGCAAAAAAAATTATAAGAGCGCGAAATTTTCACACGATGTTTTCAAATTCTATAGCTAATATAATTGTGCGCCTAATATAATTGTGCATAAGACAACTAACTAATAACTATAAATTTATCACCACCAACAAATAATTGTGCGCCTGTACAGTGTGCATAAAACAACTAACTAATAACTATAAATCTATCACCACCAATAAATAATTGTGCGCCTATGCAGTGTGCTTAAGACAACTAACTAATAACTATAAATTTTCATCACCACCAATAAATAATTGTGTGTCTGTGCAGTTTGCATAAGACAACTAATTAATAACTATAAATCTATCATCACCAATAAAGAATTGTGCGCATGTGCAGTGTGCATAAGACAGCTAACTAATAACAATAAATCTATCAATTAAAGAGAACAGTTTACTAGAGAACAGAAAACTATAGCTTCTTTTACATTCATTCTTTATATAGCTACTAAAATTTGATGATTACAGATGACAAAAATATGTGGAGATGAGGTGACTATATATATTATAGGAGGCTGAACTTGTAGTACCGAAGAAGTAGTGGGACTTTTAGGTTATATGTGGCATCCACTATCATATATAGTTTTGTTTTTCACTCTTTGTATTAACTACGCTACACTTTGTCTTTGTTTTTTTTTTGGGAGCCAATTACCCCTTTCTTGATTTCAGGATGAGGAATCAACTTTAGTAGCAGTGATTGGTTGA